ACCTTCCCAGCCCCACCCTGTGCATTTTAAATCCTTCTTAACTGCAGCCGAAGATCCTCCCAAGCCATCACTGGAGTGCTGTCTCAGGAGGCCAGGGACTATCTTTTGAGCGTGTCCAGGTTAGAGGATACAGTTTCACATGGTAGACAAGTATGGGTAGCTGTTGCTCACAGAGGCACAAGCATGTCGGGAAGGGCAGCTCTGGCACCTGACTCACCTGGACACACACAGTTGCACCGGATACCCTGCTGGATGAAGTCTGCAGCTACTGACTTTGTGAGGCCAATCACGGCTGCCTTGCTTGTGCTGTACACACACCGATTCACCACTCCTGGGGCAAACAAGGGTCAATGGTAGCAATTAGAAAGTGTCTCCTCTGTAAGGGAGCACAAGTAGGTTCCCTACTGACCACATCTAAGATTTCTCCCAGTCTGCTCTGCTTTAAAGGAAAAACATAGACATTGATGGTCGCCTATGGCTCATGCCTGTAATCCTAGCTAAGCTACCCAGGAGCTGAAATCTGAGGCTTGTGGTTCGAAGACAGCCTGGGGAGAAAAAAAAATCATATAAGACTCTTATCACCAGTTATATAGCTAAAAGCCAGAGGTGGAGCTTTGGCTCAAACGATAAGAGTGTCAGTCTTGAGCAAAAAAAGCTAAAGGATAGTGTTGAGGTCCTGAGTTCAAGTCCCAGTATCATCACACACACACATACATACACACCCATACGTACACCTACATACACTACACATACACACATAACACCATACACACAAACATACACCACATACACAACACACACTACACATACAGACACAACCACACAGATGCACCAAACAAGAAAAAAGAAAAAAAAAAAACACCTCCACCACATTGACCTCAGGTTTTCTCCATCAAGAGGCTCAGTTTCTGAATCTAGGGAAATCATATTAGCATAATCAAATAATATTAGTTAATAATATTAGCATAATCTCAAAGGTTGAGATGCTACACTGACAGCTGTAATCTGCTTGTCACCGTCAGAACTGAACAGGAAATAGTATTTTCTTTTGGGATCTACCTGCACAATCAAAGAAGAGGCCCTGTTCCTTTACATGCCCTACAGTAATGCCTCTCCTGTGTGTCTTTGCAAATGAAAAATGTCCTGTCAACAGCAGCGATTTCGTTTGAGGCCTACAAATCCATGGGTGTCGGGCTGTGGCACTATCTCCCGGTCATCCTGTTTGTTGGGTCATCCCTGCCCTTTGACTGAACCTCTCACTCAGGATCTCGGTGAACTGTCTTTGTGAGCATTCTTCACCCTACAGGCAGAGTGCCCTCCGTGTATTGCTACAGTATTTGGTGCAAACCCCTGGCTTTCCTCCAGAAAACAGAATCGGCCCACCTTTCCCCCCACTTTGGAACCATGAATTTTTTTTTTTTTTGGGTAGAAACATGCAGTACCTGTTCCATACATTATTTTGGATAATTTGGTGGTAAGTGCTTTTCCCCTTAAATCAGGTTCATTTCCATATTCATTAGAGAGAATGAAAGGGAAGGCCAAGAACACATAAGTTATGTTTCAAATGTCACGTAAATTTAAAAAAAAGTTACGACTGGCATCGGTCTATGACAATGGGTCTGATGGTTAAGGAACTTAAAGCTGACTTTTTAAGAGAGGCGTTTTGAAGCTCTATGTGGGTTTAATGATCGTGTCTACGCTCCTTCTCCAAGCCCACAGCCCAGCAAGGCACATGTGAGCATCACAATGTTGGTGAAAGCATTCCTACCTTTGATGCTGGAGGCGACGGAGGACATGTTGATAATGTTGCCTGACTTCTGAGCCAGCATCTGCCGAAACAAAACACAGGCAAACAATTCCACCCAGTGTGTCCCCAATCCTACTTCTTTAAAATACATGCATTTACTTACTGGTTTGCAGAACCAATTTTATCTTAATAATGTTGAGCTTCATTAAGGACTCTTACCCGTGATCCCCTTACCTGGGCATTGCTGGGAACTATGGCATAAGTGGCATTTCTGAAGAGTGCTACCACCTTCCCATAGTGTGAGAGCATCCGCAAGACCAAGAAAAGAAATTCAGAGCTAAATAGAACATGCACGAATGTTGATTGTCACTGTGTATTCCAGATGTGGGGAGATTCCTTCCTCTTTTCTTCTCCTCCTCCTCTTCCTCCTCCTCCTCTTTCTCCTCCTCTTCCTCCACCTCTTCAACTTCCTCCACCTCCTCTTCCTCCTCTTCCTTCACCTCCTCTTCTGCCTCTCCTCCTCTTCCTCCTCCTCCTTTTTTGTCAGTCATGGGAGTTGAAGTCTGGACCTGGACTCTGTCCCTCAGCTCTTTTGTTTAAAGCTACTGCTTGCTCTACTACTCTGAGCTACTTCTGTTTTTCTGGTGACTAAGGAGATAAAAGTCTCAGGAGGACTTTCCTGCCTGGGCTGGCTTTGGATCCTGATCCTCAGACCTTAGTCTCCTGAGTAGCTAGGATTATAGGTGCGAGCTCCCAGCTCCCAGACTATTTCTAATATTTATTGACTACTTAGTGTGGCCAGGCATTGGCAAGGGTCAGGAGATTCAAAGATGAATGACCTAAAGCTGAGAACAAGGAGCTGCTAGTCTGATGGAGGAGCTGACAGAAGCATCCAGAAGCAGTAGAGGCCTCCAAGGACCTCAGGGATGGGTAGGGCAGGAAGCACCACGGGACACTCAGGAGGAGATTCTGACCGGAAGGTTTGAGGGCTGAATTTTGAAAGTTAGAGAGTGCTCTTTAGAAAATTAAAAGAAAAAGGTGTAGCACAAGGGTACTGCGGGGTGCTGGTGGTTCATGCCTATAATCCCAGCTTCTTGGGAGTGTGAGATCTGAGGACCAAATGAACGTATACTTGATCAGCAGTCACATGAATTCTTGCTTCCATGATACCACACGTACCAAGGCATGAACACCCCGGGGTCTCTGAGGGTCAGAAGCAGGAGGCTGTATGAGTCCTTAGGTGTTGGGCACTAAATTCTCAGTGAAATCACTGAGAATGATGAGGAGGAATAAGATAAAGATAGTGGAATTCAGGGGCTGGAGGAGTTAAAATAACTGCCTGGGGAATGGAATGAAAATTAGACAAAAGAAGAAAACCTGGTGTATGTTGGTGATAAAACCTAAGTAAAGACAAGAAATCTAGGTGGAGGGATCTTCTTTGAGGCTGTGTAAAGAACCTAAGGAAGCCTAGCTACTCAGGAGGCTGAGATCTGAGGATTGGGGTTCAAAGCTGGCCCGGGCAGGGAAGTCCCTGAGACTCTTATCTTCAATAAACCACCAGAAAACTGGATGTGATGCTGTGGCTCAACTGGTGAGCAGTAGCCTTGAGCTGAAAAGCTGAGAGACAGTGCCCAGGCCAAGAGTTCATGCCTCACGACTGACAAAAAAAAAAGAACCCAAGGAAGAAGCTCTCAGAACAAGGGGATCGTGATGGGATGAAGACTTCAGAAGGGGAACCAGAATGCTAGTAGTATAAAATGCTGTTGAAAACAAAGCCTTAGACTTGTATTTTTTCCCCCTCATTCACATTAGGCATGAACACAATTGACATAGAGAATGCATCCAATTCCATTTACTGTATAAAGATGACCTGTTTATTCTGTAGGCTCCATCTCCAGTCTTCTGAAAGTCAATAATTGTCCAGGCAGAGTCTCACAGTATCCTGAAGAGGCTAGTCCTTTCCCTACCATTGGATTATCTAATTAACCAAGATTCACCTCAACCAAGATTCTAGAGCCCAGAGTCCTCGCCCCATCCAGACTGTCTTCCTTACACCACCAACTTGGTACCCACTGCCATGTCCCTTCCTATGCTACAGCAGCTGCGGCATGGTATAGACGGGGATTGCAACTGACTGACCAGAAATTCAAGAGTAGGGTCCTTATAGTCTATGCTAGACAAGTCTTTGTAGCTGCATCTTAGTCTGATCTAGCCATTCTGTCTCAACTGGCCAGAGCTCAGCTCTTAACTTTTGGCATATCTTGTCCACTGAAGTCTCCAAGTTCAAGGTTTGCCCTTCACCTGGATTGACCATCTTGATTCATTAGTCGTTTAGCAAATGTTTGTTGAGCATCTCTATGTCCTAGTGACTCCCCTAACATACCATACAAGGAAAAAGCAAGCAAATAACAAAGACATCAAATCTTTGCCCTCACTGATCTATTCTAGTGGGCCTTGGTGTCTGCACTGGCCTCTCCTTATGGTATGTTCCAATTGGTTCTCTGCCTTTTAGCTCATCTTACAGTCTCAGAGCGGTGTGGGGTGCATCTGTCCAGGAATGAACATTTTCTGCAAGTGTTCCTAGGTGTTGATCACCTGACCTGTCAGATATGTGTAGAATTCCAAATCATAACTTCCCCTGGAAAATTCTATGCTGGTGTTTGTGCGTCACACTTCATGACCCAAAAGAGCCTGGACAGTCAGGACTGGAAAAGATGCTGCAATCTATACTAATGGACCCCATTTTCCAGCAGAAGAAATAGACACTAGAGGGGGCAAGCACCTCTTCTCATGTGGCCTTGTAGAGGCGGAGCTCAGACTCTGCCTGGAGACCTCTCTGATGTTAGTGTTTCAGATGAAGACTTGAGCTGGCGGGGGTCACTTTGCTTGTTTCGTCTTGTTTTTCCCCTGCCCCCATTTAGCCCAGGTTGGCCTTGAACATGTGATCTTCCTGTCTCAACCTCCCAAGGGTTAGAATCACAGCATGTACCAGTGATCATGGTCACTGAACAAGTTGCACTGAATTATTCTGGTTTTATATCCAAGTCATTCAGATCTCTTGGGTCTTAAAAAGATAAATGTGCTAATTTACAAGTTGGCATTTGCATATTGGAAAAACTCCTTTGGATCCCATACCTACTTATTTAACTAGAATTTATAGCCTTTGGATTTGTTGTAGCTCCTTTTGCAAATGAGTTTCATACACATGTAGCATGCTATCCTCTGGGAATGAAACTCTTCCTTCTTCCCTGGTTTCTTTTCTGCCTCAAATCCTGGGCTAAGTATCTGTTTTTAAAAATGCATCTAAGTCTCATATCACAGATCTGAAAAATAAACTCTGCACAACCAAAAAGATAACTTTTGCTAGCTCAACGTTCTGGAGGTTTATTCACAGATCCTTTTGAGGTATTAAATAAGCCTTAAAAATTTCCTTCACTCTCAGCCAATGTCTCTAATTTTCCTGTTCACATTCTCCTGGGTTCTTCTTTGCTTGTTTTTTTCATTTTGTGCCTCTATTGAATTTATTTATTTCTATAATTTTATTTTTGCCAGTCTTGGGGCTGGAACTAGGGCCTGGGTCCTGTCTTGGAGCCTCTCTGTACTCAAGGCTAGCACTCTACCACTTGAGCCACAGCACCACTTCCGGCTTTTTCTGTTGATGTGGTGGTACTGAGGAATCGAACTCAGCATTTTATGCATGGGAGGCAAACACTTTACCACTAAGCCACATCCCTTGCCCCTTTCCTGGATTCTTCTTGACATTTGGTTAAATGTTCAGAGCACAGTGTCAGCCTTGCTGTGCTCTTTGCCTGTCCTGGGTTAGACAACATTCACAATCATCACCCGATCCTCTGAGTTGGAGGAACAAATGTCTCCTGCATTTCACTGAAGCTCAGCTTACGACCTTCAGCTGAGCTGGTTCTGAACTCAGCCATTCACTTTCTTTCCTTGCCCCGTAGCTACTAGTTTGAAAGCTAAGTCAAAGTCAAGGGTGGCTGCCTTCTTTCCTCCATTCCCTACTCTCCTCCAGCAGCATTCTGACAGACGCATGATGCTTGCTTGAAAACAGAAGTGAAAATACTAATGACCTGTGTGAAGGCTGGAGATTCCACGGAGGCTGACCCACAAGACCCCGCCACCCTTCCCTTCTCTAGTCTACAGGAAAGGCTGAAATTCCAGGCTTCAAATTTCAGTTATAACCACTTGTTAGTTTTAGTTGCAGTTTTACCCTCTGTATAGTCAGTGATTGGGATAAAGCAGTGCCCTCTTCAGAGGACTATTTCATTTATGTGTGTGTGTGTGTGTGTGTGTGTGTGTGTGTGTGTCTCCAGTACTGAGGCTTTTTCACTCAAGGCTTGGTGCTCTACCACTTGAACCATAGCCCCACTTCTAGCTTTATACTAGTTAACTGGAAATAAGAGTCTCCCAGACTTTCCTGCCTGGGCTGGCTTCAAACAGGGATCCTCAGATCTCAGTGCCCTGACTCGGTGGGAGTTCCTGGCACCCAGCTTGTGTATCTTAGTGCTGTTCACTCTGATGGGTCCCTGGCCTTTGTGCTTACTCCTTACTTCTCTCCTGGACCTCTCAGAAACCCCACTTAGCAGTGATGTTCAGGAGGGCACCACTGACACCTTTCCTCTTTGTCTTCATAGTGCCTAAACCACCCTACATCTGATAGGTCGATTTGATTACGCATCATCCCCGCTTCCCCCTCAGTACAGGCAACTCCTTATAGAAAGGCTTTGTTGAATTTCACTAAAGAGTCTTGTGTGCCCAGCATGGAGCCTGACACACAGAAATGCTTCTATTTCTCATGAGTTAAGAACTGGAAGATTAAATGAATGATCATGAA